GGGGGGGGGGGGGGGGAGGGGGGTTTAGACCCACTTCAAGGGTTAAGAACACTTTTAAGTGGCTTTCTGCTTTTATTAACTTTTACCTTGCCGCCCTGGCTTTACATCTGTCAGCACATATAATGTCTGATTTTTCAACAGCAAACAATAGTGAGTTAGGGGAGAATTTCAACTCCCATTTTCTGTAAAGAATATAAAAATAGACCAAGGCGTGCTTTCGAAAATTCCCAAAATAACAACGCATTCACACCTAATGAGTTCCAGTTAATCCAATCCTACTGAATGTTGAAATCCAGCCAGAGGGAGAGAGCTTGGAGCTGGCTGCTGAAATAAAGGCAAGGAGAATAGGAAAGGACAGATTATAGCAGTCAGTGACATGCTGGTGGTTGCCAGAGCCTTAACCAATCAGTGGCGTGAATGTTTCATATGCAAATACTCTAGTGAACAGAAGGTCATCAGTGCCTCATGCAGCTTGCAGAAATTCATATGAAGAAAGGGAGACAACGAGGGCTGCTGCTGCACAACACTGAGATGACACAAAAACATTGTCAGACAGGCTGCAAACGCTTCCCTGTGCCTTCACAGAGCGATAACGATGAGCCGCTCAGGAATCTGCGAGCCGACAGTCGATGAAAAAACCCCCCCCCCTTTGGATGGAGGTATAATTTATTTTTAAATGGTTGTATTTATTTAATAATGACTTCTTGGGTGCGATGCATGTTCCCAATCCCTGTGCTAAGCGTGACGCTCCTGTTGTTATACTATAACAGTAAGCTGTTGAATTGGAGAGCTTTTCACTGGTATAATGCTACTGAAGAAAGGATCCTTCTGCTGGAAGCTTGCGATGCCTTTTTTAATGGGAGGAAATCTTCCTTGGAACCTGCACTGGCTAGCCTGCATCACAGTTCTGACTGTCAAGAATATTTAAGACAGAATCATTACATCACAGCCCCCCTCTCGGATGAAGAGGCAGATTTTCCTTTAGCTTATATGATGACCGTACATAAGGAATTCGACACATTCGAGAGACTGTTCAGAGCCATCTATATGCCTCAGAACGTATACTGCATCCATGTGGATGAGAAGGCAAGTGTGGATTACTTGCAGGCGGTAAGTGATTTAGTGGATTGTTTCCCTAATGCTTTTCTCCCCTCGAAAATGGAGCCGGTGGTGTATGCCGGGATATCGAGACTCCAGGCGGATCTGAACTGCATGAAAGATCTGATGAACTCGGAGATACAATGGAAATATGTGATCAATATGTGTGGGCAGGATTTCCCTTTAAAGACAAATAAGGAGATCGTAGAGCATTTGAAAACATTTAAAGGGAAAAATATCACGCCTGGGGTGCTGCCCCCTCGTCACGCCATCCCCCGGACTAAATACGTCCACCGTGAGGATATTGTACACTCCTTTGTAATAAGGACTGAAACCTTGAAGCCCCCTCCTCCGCACAATATCACCATTTACTTTGGCACTGCATATGTTGCACTGACAAGGGAGTTTACTAAGTTCATCCTGGAAGATCAGAAATCTAAAGATCTACTGACATGGTCTAAAGACACTTTCAGCCCTGACGAGCACTACTGGGTGACTCTGAATAGAATTGCAGGTATGTTAGTAATGTTGTCATACTATTGTTAAGTGTGATGCGTCAACATTGTTAAAGGTAAACACAAAGTAGCATTCTTTCTGTGTGTTTCTATATCATTTGTCATGTTGTTGACTACACTATTTACACTTTAACAAAGTATGTGTGGGGGAAATAATATATCAGTTTGCAGCCATCTATACAGAGAGGTAAAGCTAAGGCCCCTCTCACATGGGCTGATCAGGAGAGGATCCATGCACGGATCTCCTCCTGATCAGAGCGGTATGGATCGGATGTCTTCGCTGTGACATCCATATGCGTACAGTTTTTTCCTCCAAAAGCTGAAACTGCTGGACCCCATGTGTGTTTACGGGGAATCTGATGTCTGTTCACATCAGATTACCCCCAATCTGGCACGATCCGGTCTGTCGAAATGGAGCAGTGTTCCGTCTGATTTTTCTGACACAGCCAGAGCCAGGGGTCACTGGGTGTAAACGGACACTTGTCCGTTTATGCATGGCTGCCCATAGAGTTGCATTGAGCATCTTATCGGGACCGCCTACAAAACTGACAGGCGGACCCAATCAGAGCAGCTGTCTGAAAGGGGCCTAACACGTGTACAGTTAGGCATTAATGTGCACCTGTCACAAGACAAATACTTGGGTTGCCATTGCTGGCCTACTGAAAACTGTAGTTGCTTTGCCATGTCTGGCTACACTACTTTTTTTAGTCACAGACCCTAAATGAGCAGTAAATGAGCAGACATCCAGCAAAAGTCAGAGTAAGAATACCTTATTTCTATAAGTGTTCCAAATTGTTGACTCAAAAAGGACTAAAGCCAACACGTCAGCATGACAGATATGGCACTAGCATTTTTAATGAGGCACTTCACCACCCCCATCTCCCCTTGGATCCCCCTGCATTCATTTGTTTTTTATTTACCTTTTACCTTTTATCCTGGACTCACATACTCCCCACCCAGCAAATTCAGCTTTCCTCTGTTCAGCCATCAAGCTGCCATCTTCTTTTCTGATGCCATCAGGAGTCAGCTGTCTCTTCCAGGTTTAGGCAGCAAGCCCCCTGATAATGCGCACCAGGTCTACCCTCCTCCAGCACCATGTTTGACCTCCTCCAATAGCACATAGAAGCTGAAAGCTCTTGAGATATGTGATGTGCATATCCCAGGAGTGTTCAGGAGTAGAGACATGTTATTCTCTTCTACGAAAGAATGGAGACAGGGGGTGGGCTGGATAAAAAAAACAACAGTTATTTTAATCTATGGAGGTGGGAAGGAATGCAATGGGGGAAAGTTTTTTTCTTATGAGTGAAGGTCTCTGCTTTAGGAAGAGGTAAGCAGTGGCAGCAGCCCACAGATGTATCTCATCACAGGTACTCTTTAAGTGCATGAATCTGAAACCCTTTATTGCGCTTATCCTCTCTGAATGTTCATTTTGCCTAATGGGCCATATAGAGCAGGTTGCAAAGGTTGTTCATAGAAGGCCTAATATTTGCAAGGCATCTGTCTGGTCTAAGCATCACTTGCGACTATCTGACTGTGAATGGTAAAACAGCCGGTGAGATTTATTGGAAATACCCATCACTCACAAAGACTTCCTTAAATGTAAAAAATAAATCAGTTTAGAATCAATGCCTCTTCTTCATAGGAAGTAGCAAGGCCCATTCACGAACACTGGAATTAAGCCTTACCTTTTCTGCTAGAAGAGTACCGCTTAACGTTTAGGACAGACTGATCCCTCATCATACAGTAATCCTGATGAGACCAGTTATGAGATTTATTTTTATTTATTTTTTATTTTTCTGTCATATTACATTAAATGTACTTTGCCGTTCTGCAGTCCACTTTCATTTGTAAAGGAAGTAAATATGTTTCACTTCATACTAAATTAAGTAGCAGTTCCTCATATGAAAAAAAAAAAACAGTACTTCCTATTTTTCATGTTTAAGAATACCAGTCGTTTACATAGGCGTGAGTAAAACTCAGAAAATCTCAAGTGTGCTATATTTGTGTCTTAACGGACTACTTTTGTATTTTTTATTCAACTTTTGTAAAGTTATCCTTTAATTTAACTTTTTTACAGTTAACTTTTTAAACTAAAGTCCACACATAAAAAATTGTTAGGAGGTTTAAAGTCTCTTCTACCAAAAACACTTCCTAGCTATTTTTGTTTTTGGGTGTCTACTGCTGGCTCACTCCTGCCATCTGTTATGATTGAGTGGTATAAAATCTTGGTGAAATATTAATAATAGGGTGGTGTCTGAATTATATTTAGATTTAATAGACAGTGCCTCCAGCCGATGATGGCAAATAATAAATAACTTAACAAACAGTATGAATTCAGTTTAAAACTTGATAATACACCCCAAACCACTTCCCTGAGTTCTTTGAGCTTATGGTGATTTCTTACCCCAATATATAAATATCTCCCAATTACACTAATAAATCAAAATAATTTATTAATATACGAGTATAATCATATATTTCTGTACAAAACTTAAATTACTGGTGATTACAATTCAAATACCCAATCAGAGAAATAAATGAAAATAAATTATCAGAAAAAAAAAATACCTAGACACCTTTAAAAAAGAACTATGAGGTGAGTGCTTTTCACTCACCTCATAGTTCTAGCCGACCTGTGACAATGAGACTGTCACAGGTCGGCTCAGTAGATCGGGAGGTGAGCGAACACATACCGGGTTCGCTCGCCTCTCGATCCTGTCAC